ATGGGCCAAGAACTTTTCTGAAATTATCAACAATGTAACAGTGCTGATGTTATAGGATTCCCTAGCATTGACTCTAACTATTCTCAATTTCACTCAAGTTTTTTGTGGTTATTGTTGTTGGTGGTGGTGTTTTTTGTTTTCCTTTTTATTTTTTGCCGCTCCCTCCACATGGTTAAATGCCCAGAAGGCATCTGAAGAAATTTAATGAAAGACATAATTTTCAATATACATAACTAAACAGATCATTAAAATAGCAGAAAGGATTAAAAATAATTCAACCTGGAATATGAAAACAGCCTTACAAACAGACATGAATGTTGAAATACAAAATTAATTGATATGGTAGTATAAAAGGAAAACAAAAGTAACATGAAACATTGCACAGTAGAATGGAAAATTCTAAATGTAGCACTCAGTGTTGAAAAATAAAGTTCACCAAAATGAAGAACTGGAGTGATGAAAACTGGGAGGCAAAGGGTTACTGAGATAAGAGATTGAACTGGGATGGCAGAGGAAACAGGAGAGAGATTCCACTCAGTCTAAGTTCTAAAACTGAAGAACCAGCTAGAAAGGAAGAGAGAAAAAAGAGTGTTCCAATTCACATTTGCACTAGTGCTACCTGAAGGGATGTTGCCTTGAGTTGTCCGGAGAATCGAGAGTGTGCTCATTTGAGTGTGTGTGTGTGCGCGCGTGTGTGTGTGTGCATGCATGTGTGTGTGAGTGTGTGTGTGCATGCATGTGTGGGTGCGTGCGTGTGTGTGTGTGTGTGAGATGCTAATGCTCGCACTATTTCTGCACATCTTTTAGGTTTAACATCTCTAAAAAGTGCACAAGAAGAGATAATAGCTTACATCACTTGCTAAATTATAAACTGTGTTTTAAAATACTATCTAAATATGTATTACTTGTATAGGTAAATATTTTTATATAGTTAAATCATTTTTACAAATTTAAAATAATTTCTATTGAGTTAAAGACAAAAGAGAAAATTAGTAAATAAAAAATAAAGTTGTGTGTTTCTTAACTATTTCAGTCACAAAATCTTTGCAAATTGAGTCTGTGTCATGGACCACAGAACCACGTACACATGAATACAGCTGTGCACGTCTCTGCACATCTCCTGTGGCCAACACTCCTGCTAAGCACAGTGATCTCAACTGAACTCCGTGTACAGAGGCTTCCCGTGAGAAACACTGCACGCAGAGCCGAAGACAGCATACGCTAGAATGCTGGTGTGGGGACACGAGGCTATCACAAGACAGGGATTTCCACTGAAACATAAGACAACACTTTAAGGGAGAGGGGACTTTGCCCAGACCCGACATGAAGTCAGGATGCCAGCGAAAGACTTGTCCAGTGAAGGCCAAGGCACTGCAGACTGTGAGAGGAGCACGTGCAGGTGCGAAGGCAGGAAATGGAGGGTGTTTGGGAACAAGCCACTGTCTCACTGGGGCAAAGTGTTCATTAAAGAGCTCTGCCCACGTCTTAGGTCCAAGCCAGTGCTGGGGGTGCAAAGAATGCCTACATTCAGGAGCTCACAATCTAATGGGACGGTACTGTAAATCAATAATTATTATTAACTTTCTGTATTACACAGGGAAAATAGAAAGCATAGAACAGGACCAAGCTTGAGTGTAGATATGTGGAAAAAGTCTCCTCTCAGTTAGAGAGAGAGAGATGGGGAGCAAGATTCTCAGAGCAGTATCGAGAATGAAGACCCCATCATCACATGGAATATCTGTGCTTTGTTTTCCAATGAGAAGCCTGAAGTTATGTAAGCAGGAGAGGTGGCGCAATGTGAGCTGGACGGCCTGGACTTTGGAGTCACAGACATGTTAGAATCCAGGTTCTCCTCTTACTTTCTGTATGATTTCGGGGCAAATTATTTAACTTTTCAATATTGTCATTTACAATTAATAGACTAGAAGTTATTATGGCTTTCTATGTTTCAGATAAGACTGGTAAACATAATATTAACATTAATAATAAAAGTGTGATTATTGACATTTCAGAGAATGCAACACAAGAATGGTAATGACAGCCAGAAAAGAATGAAGAGGGAGAGAACAGTGTGGGCTAATGGAGCTCATGTGAAAACCAGTCAGATAAGTGACGCCTGGTGTTACACCAACGACTGGATTCCCGCAGGACACTTTCATAAGGTTTTGAAGAAAGGAGCAGTGTGGAATACATAGAAGTAAGAGTCACCAGTGTGCTGCCAATACCGGCAGTAACTTCATATTCAGGAGCTTATTTTAGTCTTTAAAGTCTACACAGCAGTGAGGTTGAACCATTTAGAGACCGAGTGCCCATGCTCATTCCAAAACACACTTATTCATCCCAAAGTGGGGACTCTGTAATTAAATCTGCAAGTTTGGTTTCAATTTTTAGAACTAAGTCTGGATAATATGACATAAGTTTCATAACACACTGAGACGGGAAACATTCAGCTGTGTTGCAGCAGTAGAAAGGGCAGACAGGTGAGACCGAAAAGGCAGAAGGAAGATGAAGCTGAAAGCTGAAGTTGAAAGCAGGGTCCCCGCAGTGTCCTAGCTCCAATCTCAGAGCCATTCCTGTGTCCCCTGTCCTGGAGGGCAAGGGTGCGGGGGCTGAGGGCTGGGAGGTGGGGGTGGGCTGCTGAGGACACCACCAGCCTCCCTCCTTACTCCTACCTGCTTAAGCTCCAGATGAATCTTTGCAATATCCAGGTGGAAAATGTTTCCCAGGAAAGGCAGGCGCCAGGGTCCTGGAGGATAGTTCTTTGGGCGCCTCCTTTTGAGGAAATCTACAAAGAACAGGAAGGCAACAGCGCCCAGTAGAAGAGTGCGGAGGTGAAGCACGCCCCAGAGGGCGGCCACCAGGGAGCCCACCGTGGCCAGCATGCAGAGGACTTGCCCTGGGCCTTCTTAGGACCACACAAAGGACTATCCACACAGGTAACTACCTTGGTGTCCAGGCTGCCCTGCCCACCAGATCTGCTCTGCCCGGCCTCCCGCGAATTGTACCACTTCTCTGCCCTCTGCCCTCTGCCCTGCAGTTCCTCCCTCCCTGGCCTTCCTGTTCCCTCTATGAGCCAGGCCTCTGCTGCACCCTGGACAGGGGATAGAGACTCTGCACCCCTGGACTCCCCACATCTTTCCTGGAACAGGCTGGCTAGCAGTGCTTTCTTCCTTTATCATAAAATCCATTTTCTGGCACACACCTGGGGCTCAGGCTGCTGGGCTCCTCATTTCCAGGCCCCCTTAGCCTGAGAGTGCCACAGTCAGTGGAGCCTGGTTTCCCATCACTGTCCCCAGGCCCGCGGGCTCTCTGGCAGCAGCAGTGCTGGACCTGTCTTAGGAACTTACCATCAGGCGGGCAGCACACTCGGCCCTCACATGAAAGGCTGTGTCTCACAGAACTGTGCAAGGGACGATGATTTCAGTCCTGACTTGGGATCAGAACAGGCACTGCACAGGAATAAGGGAATCCCTGAGTGTGAAAGGTTCCCAGAGGAAGCCTTCTCTCCGAGAGCGCTCTGAAGAGGAGAAAGAATGGCACCAAAACTCCCAGCACTGGGCTGGGTTCATCATAGGAGGTTAGGTAACATTTATGGCAGAAATGTCTTTATCCTGGGCTTTATTCATTTCTTTATTTTTGCCTGATTGTGAAGTTTCTGTGTGTCCAGGCTCCAAAGTCCATGCCAGGCTGAGGTGCCTCCCTGTTTCTCCTCATCTGAGAGTCCTCCACAGAAGCAGCTCAGTTCTGGGAGACCTCGGCACACTCACGTGTATTCAAGGTAGGCATACGCAGTCTGCTTAAAAATTGTTTCAAGGGAAAAACTAAAAAAAAAATTGGAGTTTTATTTTTTTCCAAGCCAGGGTAAGGCGGAGTCAGGATTCAGCATGTGTCCTTCCAGTCCATGTATGTTGCTATTTCAATACAGTTGTTACCGAATTGAACACTATTTCTAATATTTATGTAGAAAATTTCTCTACAGCTCAACTGCTGTTTAAATTGTCTTCTGCCTGATTCCACATTATTATCCTGATTCATTCGATTTGAAAGGTAATCTTGTGTTACTGTATCTCGGTTTATTTGCTTGTCCCTGTATCAACAGGTATTCAGATTAGTTCTCCCCCTCCTTCTCTTTTTTAAATTATTTTTGCATTAAAAATAATGCTGGAGGTGATTACCTTTATGAAGGCCGAATTAGAGGCTCTTCTCATGGATTTCTTAGCCAGGTTTACGTTGAGAGTCAAGAGCAAAGAGCCCAGCAGAAAGATTCAAAATGTTCTGAGTTTGGCCAAGAGAGAAGCTCCAGTAGTGCTGTAGAACGCAAAGACAGAGCAGAGGAGACCTTGAAGGCTGAGAAGAAACAGGAGAACAGCAAAATGGCCTAAAGGAATCACAAGAGAAGGACTCCACCCTTTGCAGCTTCAAAATTATAAAAGTGAAGGACTTTGCTTTATGAAGAGATTCCCAGAGCATCATGTTCTGGAAAGACAGTGGCTTGGGGAAGCTCGAGACTGGTTTGTAGGCACTGAATAATTACAGCCAAGAACAAATGAAGCCTGGCTACTGCCCCAGCTGGCAGCAGACCTTGACATCAACCGTGTGGTGCTAGTTTTAGGGGCATGCACAACGCAAGAGTTGTGGGGACAGGAAGTCTTCTACTCGGATTTCAGAAGAAGGCCTGGGAGGCCAGGCAGTGTGTCCCTGAGAAGGCAGTGTGTGAACCTGTGAGTGTGAAGCAGAAGGTATACAGCACAGACGTTTGGAGAAGCCAAGAATCTGGATTGTCTGCGGAAAACTTCAAGGAGTGAGCAGAGCCAGCCCCATAGAGAAGCCCTGGAGCTACAACCACCCACAGTGCTGCAGGAGTGGAGCCTCCCAAGTCTTTTGGAGTTCACAGCTTGCCACAGTTAGCCAGGCATGGCAGATATGGAGTAGTGGGAATTAATGTTTGACTTGTTGGATTTTAGATTTGCTTTGGTCCCATTCCTTTGTATCAATTTATAACTTGCGTAATGATGTGGTCTTTCTGGTGTCACTGAATATTGGAAATGTTTAACCTGCTTTCAGTTCTTCAGGGGCTGGCAGCTAGGACTTTGGATTTGGACTTTCAGCAAAGCTGAATACTGTTAGATTTTTGGCAACTTTTGGAGATGGACTAAATGCCTTTTGCCTAAAGGCATGTCCACGAGTCTTGGGAGGTGGACCAGGGGCAGAACGTTATAGCTTGTGGTTAGGTGTCCCCCAAAAGCCTCATTTGGTCCTATGTGGGGCTTTTTCACAGGTGGCTGAATCTAGAGTGTAAGATTAATTCACCTCGCAATGCTAGGCACAAGGGTGCTAGGATTAAGCGTATGAGTGCTACCCACCCTTAGCAGTCTGAAATAAAAGAGACTGAAGGATGCTGTTAAGGTCCCTTATTGCTTTTGCTGTCTTCTGCCATCACAACTGTTGCCTCTCAGCCATGGGTCACCCTGCCGTTGAGCCAGCCAATTATGGACTGAAACTTCTGAAAAATTAGCTAAATTAACCTTTGCCACATTAACTTTGGAAGTCGAGGATTTTGTCTCAGCAATGAGAAAAGTAACTAATACCCATCCCATCTACTCTCCAAGAGCCTGCAGTCTCCCCTGCCTGCTTTTCCCTCATCCTCCCTGGGGGCTTGGCAGTGTGAAACCACCAAGGAGCTGCTCTGAGAGCCAGGACCAAACACTCAACCCACCCTGCAGCAGCCGCCCTCTGACCTCTTTCTCCACCATTGTGGCTGTGGCTGTTGCACCGAGGTCACTTGTCAACTGGTGTCTGTATAAGGCTGCTCTGGAAGCGTTGAACCCTGTCTTCCTTGTGATCCAACTGCTGATGTTTCCTTCTGTTCCAATGCAGTTCTCTGGTTCTTTGTGACCAAAATGATGTTCATTTCACTTCGCCTCCCTTCTAGCAGCTAGGCAATCACTGTTGGTGTCACTGCATGGGCTCTCCTCAGCAGTGTGATCTATTTTTCTGTGTCATTCAATCCTATGTCTTCTTCTCTATCAGCTCTTTATTGGTTCCCTGTTAACCTCCACACAATTTGATACCTGTCCGAGCTATTATTTTCCAGATTTAAACATGTTGTCCCGGAGAAGCTGAGTTGCCGGCACTCATTGCTGTGCCATTTTGAGACTGAGGAATACATTCTGAAAACAAAACAAGTTTCCACATTTGTTCTGTAAACCTGGATCCCGGGCTTGGTCAGCTGTGCTACGTGGAACAGGGTCACAGGTCAAGGCAGTGCTTCCTTATATCCACAAAAAAAGCTGTGTTTACACCAGGTGCTTTCACTGCCTGTATAAAGGGAAACATAACCTTCCCTGATGCCCTCCCAGAAGTGCATTCTGAGGCAGAAACAAGATCAAGCACTGAGCAGCATTCCCAAAGGGGAGAGCATTTTGCCATGCTCTGTGTCTGTACCCCGGGTCCCACTTCTAACTCTTGTTGGCTGTTTGGTAAAACTTGAACCTGAGAAATTGCCACTCCTCACATGCAGATACTTGGCTGCAAAAGAAGGCAAGTAAAAGGAACAGTGCAACTATAATTTTATCATGTGCTTTATTGCTTACAAATCAATTAAAGTCCATTATTCTGTTATTTCCTTTGATTCTTACACAGAACTGTATTTAGAGAGAGAAAAATCCCCATTCCTCCCATCTCCAGGATGAAAAAGTAAATCACATCATCCGTACATGATTGCCCTATATTGATTCTGAAGGAAATAGCACAGCTCCGATGGTGATCCAATTTCCTCTCAGCCCAATTCCTCGCTTCTTTCCTCCCCCACCTCCATTCTGTCCCCTCACATCTGTGTGGGCACCAGAGGCTTCAGAGAGCTGCCATTTCTTCTTTCTTGCCTTTCACTTCCTTCTCAGCCATCATGCCCTGGGGACAGCACAGATGTTGTAGCTCTCTGGAGCATGTGTCAGGCTCATCCTAACCTTCAGGCTCAGCTTTTCATTCTTGGGGGGATTGAAGGTAAATTTTTGCAGAAGGGAAGTGAAGAAAATAAACAGCTCAGACCTAGCCAGCTGTTCTCCAAGGCATGCGCGTTTTCCTGTGGGACAAAAACAAACAACGTATTTCTAGGTGGCACTGTTGCATCTAGAAATTGGTATTCTCCAATCCTTCCAACAAATTCTGACCTTGTGCTTTACATCCAGCTTTCTCTGTGTGTCTGACAACCACTTGAATTCACCAAAGGATGGAAAGTGGAAATCCAGGATCACAAGATCAAATGCATTTACAGGTTAGTTGTGGGGTGAAGAAGCAGAGTACGGATTAATGGAAGGGGGAGGCCTGGGCTGACTCAGACAGTGGTATCTTGTCTGAATATTTCAAAACTCATTTAATAACCAACCACGAAGCAGTCAATGAAGCAACAACAAAATTATGTGATGTGCCTCAACCTTAGAAGGAAACAGCAAAGTATAAAGAAGTAAATGACACCACTGGGCTCCTAACATCCAAGCCACTTCCCTATGCCTGTTACCCTCCTGCACTGTGGACCCCCTGACAAGCACGGCCCTCCGGATGGAGCTGCCCGTTCCTTCCTCTTTGCACTTTCTGTCTTGTTCAGGGCCTCTGCTTCCAATGTGAGCATGGAGAACTGGGGGAAAGGGACAGAAACTCAATGTTGAGGGTATTGGAGGCCACCATGGTGGGACAGTGTTGGAAAGAAGGTTGGAAAGACTAAAGAACCTTGAGTACATCGTAATTAACCTTTGTAGTACCATATGCTTCAAAATACCCGTCTTGGGACTCATAAAAGCACAGAAGCAGAGTAACTTGCATGAAATGAGGTATCATAACCAGGAAAAAAACTGAAGAAGCCCTCTAATCTCATCCACTCTACATGAACTCAGAAATCACTGATTTCGGAGGCCACACAGTACAGTACAGCGTTATGATAGTGGCCAAGGTTACTTCCCAGGGACCTGAAGGTCACTCTTCCTG